ATGATCCCAATTAAAAGCTACCACACTTGTTCCCCAAAAGTGGCAGCATGGAGACAGAAACAAGTGGGTGACTGAGGCAAGGAGAGAGGTAAAGCAGAAGTAGAAAGAAGTGGCAGGGACCACCAGGGTGAGAGGTGGCCTGGGAACACGTGGGAATACAAAGTTTTGTGGGTGAGGAAATAGCAGACTTGTCTTGAATCAGCAGCTACACTGAGAATTGTTTTGTTCTGCTTTTCCCCAACAGCTTTTGAGGGAGTGGGTTTGACACTGACACAGGAAAAATGCTGCAGGATTCAAAGATGTGCCGGTTCTCTCTGGGTCTCATTGCACCTGCCCAGGGGACAGAGATCTTTGTGCTCATCCTCTGCTTTGAAAGGAAAATTGTGCCAGTGGGGAGGCATGAGGGTGAAGGGCAGTGCTCATCCCCAGGCTCCAGATGCCACGTTTGCAGTGCTGCTAGCAGCCTTTATGGGCTTGCAGAGCTTTACCCAAGCCAAGCAACATCACTTCTGCAGTAGCAACATCCCTGATCCTTCCTCCAGAGCTGGGAAGGAGCTCTCTGAGGCCCAGCCTGTATGCTGGGGTATTTTATAATCTTTGACAAAGACAGGGAGTGTAGGAGTATCATGAATCTGTTTCCAGTTCATGATAAGGGGACGTTTGATGAATGGTGTCCTCAGTCTTAGGAGAGTTTGTTTGTTCTTTCAAAAGAACCACAAACAAACAAACAAACAAACAAACATTCTCCCTCCCCCCCAACCCAAACAAATAAAAAAAACAAACAAAAATGAAGCAACAAAAATCTACCTGTCAGATATTGCTGGAATCCAACCAAGACTTGCTTTTAAGGTCAGGCACGAACAAGGTTATTAGCTAAATCTGAAATTTGACCAAGTGTTCAGAGTTATATCATTGCAGAGGGGCTGGGTCCTAAACTGCCCACAATCAGTTTAACTCCAAGCAGCTCCAGAACTGGACCACATCAAGGTGAAAAATACCTTTTGCCTAAGTTGTTGAACTGTGCTTGGTAAGTTGAGAGGCACAGCTATGGAGATGCTGCCATATCCATTCACACCAGCTGTGACACCGAATTTAGGGGGTTTAAGCTTATATTGGTTTATCTGCTTCCTGCTGCATTGAGTTTGCATGGTAATGCTGCAGCCCTGTGCACAGAGATCCTCCTGAAAACCTGAAACACCCAATGGCCTGAGACCCCCCACTCCTTAAAGCCCAATTCCTTGTGCTCCTCTGTCCTCATGCACTGCCAAAGCAGGGGGGTTGCCTGGAAATTCCCAAGGCACTCAGCAAGTGAGGGAGACCAAGGCTGCTCTGGCCCTGGAGCCATTCCAGCTTGGCAAATACCTCAGTGGAGAGCCTTGCTACCCTAACACCTGTGAGCACCTGGATTTTCTTGATGCTTTTGCCCTTTTGGGATGTCCCCAATCCCTATGGCATTACAGGGGAATGTTTTGGTGCAGGAGACTTCAAAGAGCCAAGGAGCAGCCTGTGGAGCAGGAGTATTTGTCTCTCTGCTCCCTGCACGTTGGGAGTGGTTGGTGGCAGGGTTTGTGCAATGTCTGTGAAGCTGATGTGGGGGGATAAAGTGGTTCCACACAGTATATGAAGCATTTCTTTGATAACCTGAGTATGAGCTCTCCTCCCCTATGGGGACCTTGGGTGGCTTCAAGACAAGGAAAGATTTCCTTTTTTTCCTTTTTTCCCCCTCAGGGGTGTATATGGCTCAGAGGGCATGCATTTCAGAAGGGCTTCCATGATTCCCACATCTGTCATCCCACACAGTACACAAACACAACCTTTCTAGTGCAGACTTTCTTGGTTTGAGTGCCAGGACCAACAGCCGAGCTCTCCCGAGGTAGGACTGAGCAGTAGGATTGAGGGTATGTGCTTGAAGTGCTGTGAGGCTGCATTGCCACCTGCTGGGGACACCAACAGCGAGGGTGAGCCTGCCTGGGGTACAGCCTTTGTCCTCAGCTGCTTATTTTGAGCTGGTCTGCTGCCTCTTGCTTTGTTGGAGTTTGTCTTCAGGCACTGATAACCTGCAAGTTGTAACTCCGGGGGTTTAAATTTCCTGCTTTGGGTGCTGGCCTTCAGGTTCCTTTCCTGGGTGCAACCAAAGGAATGCAGGGGACACTTTGGCCAAAGGACTTTTTGGGCAGGAAGATGTGAGGAACCTGTGGTGTTCTTCCCAATGTAAAAAAAAAAATAAAAAAATAAAATAGTATGTAATTAAAAAAAAATAAATCTCTTGCTACAAATTATCTGTATGTGCTGGGAACTGGCCTGGAGCAGGACTTGTGGTCTTGTTGGGACCCAGCCAGGTTCCCTTGGGAGTTGCCATCAAAGAGCCTCGCTCAGATTTGGCCAAGCTATTACACTGAAGTGCAAAAACACGGACAAAATAAAACAGGGGAAGTTGGAAAGACGAGACAGTGGTGCAGTGACGTCTGGCTGGATAACCTGTGTAAGCCAGCAGCTTTGAGACCCACTGGTTGCTTCTCCCAGAGCTGCTTTTGTGGTACTGCACCCTTATTCTCCACCTGGCTTAGCTACAAGCCTGTCAGAAACATCTGGGGCAGGGGGATAAGCTGGATTTTGTGGAGGCTGAGATCTCTCCTGCTGTGCTTTTCACCTATTAACTCTAGGAGAGCATCTGCCACACCACAAGCCAGCAGCCTACTCCAAAGAGGTTTCAAAGGGAAACCAGTGTGCATCAAATCCCTGCAGTGGCAGCTCATAAATGGATTTATCAGTGTCAGGGCCTGAGGACAGCTCCTGGCAAGGTATTTTGGCAAAAAACTTTAAGTCACTCTTTTTTGGCAAAAAAAAAATCAAAATTTAGCCACTGATTTAGGGTCTGTGCTGATTGCTGTTAGTGGGCATTTGAAAAGTTAATCTGCAGGAATGAGAAATGAAGTAATTTAGGCAGACAGCACTATCTGTTGCTCTCTGCACTGTCTCTATGTCACATCTTTGATGGCTGAGGCTGCTGTCAGCCCTTGAGAGCTGAAACCACACTGGGGACACACGCACATACAGATGGCATTTGGTCAACAGCATTTGGGATGTTTCTCATCTTGCTAATCACACTAGTATGCACAGGAGGTGAACACAAACTGAGCCAAATGATAAAGCCTCCAGAATAAGTCTTTTACTTGTTTCTTGGAATATAGGTTGTTTTATGTATTTTTTTATTTTTGTTTTTTTAAATAGATCACCACCATGGACAAACACAACCATCAACAAGTGTCAAATATCTACACTTCTGATAAAGTCCCTCTCAGGTGCTTGTTGGAACAGAACCAGTTGAGTTTCCAAGCCTTGTCTTGCCTCCTGGCTCCCTCCCCTTGGCACAAAGGTGGGTGGAGGTGGGCAGCAGCACACCAACCCCTGTATGAGGAAGAGTAACCAGAGAAACTGCACCGTGCTGTTTTCTCATCCTCAAGACCTTTACCATAAACCTTAGCAGAAACTATAGAAAACCAGGTTGTGTAGGACCTCAAGCAAATTAATATTGCAGGTGCTGGAGGGCAGGATCACCTTTATCCATCCCATTCCTGACAGCTTGGTCTTACAGCCTCTGCTGCTGCTCACAGCCTCCCTGAGGTGCCCTGTTTGTCCTTCCACTGAGCAGGAGGTGCTTTCCTAGGAGGATCCACCTCTTCCTTTTGGTGGCCAGCACTGCACAGAGGTGTATTTTGGTGTAACCCACAGGACTGTGGTCTCTGATGGAAGCCACAGAGGGAGGATGCAGACTTGGATGGAGACCCCAGTGCAAAAGGATGCCTTGGGATGAAAGCACAGCCTGCAAGGGAAAGCCCAGGACTGGCTTTGGTGGATTGGAGATGAGGGAAAAATGTGAAATGCTCTCAACACTCAGGGGGGGTGGAAGGCCTCCAGGAGGTGCCAGCACAGCACAGCTATTGTGACATATGTTGATCTCTTCAGATATAAATCCTGGTGACAAAGCAGGGGGTAGAAATAACCCAAAGTTTGGTTGTTTCAGCATTTTTATTAGACAGTGCTCCACTCGGCAGTTGTACACATGGCCCTGATGCTCCCCTGATCAGTGCACAAACCCTGGGACATTAACCATGACCCAGGCTGCACAAAGCTCTCCTTTCACAGAAGTGGTGCCCAGGAGAAACCCAGGCTCAGAGCAGCGTGCCTGCACTGCCAGCACACCAGTCAAGCTGGGAGGCAACTTCAAGCACTGTTGGATTAGTCAGCTCCTCTCTGCTTCCCAGTCTGTGCTGCTTAGGTCCTGTGAATGACAGGGGATGCCTGCTGCTGTGTCCACGTGAGCCTGAGGCTTCTGACAGGGATGCCCACCCTCAAGGTGATGAATTTTCTGAATTCATGAATTCAGATGAATTTTCTGCCATTCAGGCTGTCTTTTGATGGACTTTCAGAAACCTATGTTGGCAGTACAGGAGCATGGGCTTTGAGGAAACAAGTCAGCCTTCCAGGGCTGGTTTCTGCTCCTTGCTGATCCATGCAGTTCTCAGGGGGCTCCCCATGCCCCTGGGGCTCAGCTGCCCTGCATTCAGGCACGTGTGAGTGTAACTGGGCCTGCTGATCCAGGAGAGTGGCTGTGCTGCCCTGCTGCTTCTCCCCTGCCCTTATGGGACCTGAGGCACTCAGCAGCTTCAAAGATCAAAACCCATGGCCACGTTGGTGCAGGCTGAGGAGCTACCCTCAAACAGCACAGAGCTGTGTGGCTGCATCTGTAAACTTCCTTGAGCTCAGTGTTTAGCTCATGCTCAGTGCTAACCAAGTGATTTACAGAGTCAAGTCCCAGATTTCTGCGAATTGGTGAGGCATCAGCTAAGGATGGAAAAGCAATTTACTCCCTGCAAGTAGCTGATCTGCCTGACACATCAAAGCCAGCTAACCTAGTGCAGATTTTCCAGCTGGGTAGATGAGTGGTTGCAAATCAAATTACAATAAGCACTAGCAAGGCAAACAAGTAACTCAAATCATCCAGGTTTGGGAAAGCTTATAAAAGAAAACATGTAAATAACATCTGTACAGCTAATAGGTTAAATAATCTCAGAACTCAGTGGCATACATTTCTTTTCCCTTGTTGCTGCTGGTGGGCACCTGGCACCACCTAATACATAAATTTAAATAAAGACTGCAAAATAAGCTCTCAAAGCTAACAAGACACCACAAAAGCAAGCATGCTTAGCTCACTTTTGGACTGGAGGTTGCCACTGGATGACCAATGGACGAGCAAGGTTTAATATAAGATGGCAGTGGACTCCTTGTCTGTCACTTGAACAAAAGCACAGAAGAGCTATACATAGCTTTTGCCTTTAGGGCAGATAGGTGCAAACTCAGGACAAGCCTTTGGCATGTCAGTTCCAGCTTTGCCAGCTGCAGTAAGATATTACAAATGTATCTCAGACTCCACAGTCCATCACATTCGCTTCACGTGGCCCAGATACTGAACCATCTGCTCTCTGGGTGCTCAGAAAGAAAACACTTGAAAACAACTTCCAAGGCAACAGTCTCAGCTTTCCATCACCTGTTCTCCAAAGGCAGCTAAATTCCTGCAACAATTCTGTTTGTTAGCACAAAAAGAAGTTAAATAGCCCAGGTCACATTCAATAAAAAACTTCTTCCCAGGAAATGGGATACAGGAAATAGCAAAACTCTGTAGCCAACAAAACACTGTACAGTTCTCCCTGCTCCCACCTGCAGCCCTGAGTTTTTAAGGGACAACAGCAAAATCTGCATTCTGTCTTTTAAACTAAACAATGTAATGAGACAACTAGAAACGTTAGAGAACTCAGGAGGATGGATTTACATTCAGTTAGGTGAACAATGATGAGCCTGGAAAAAGGAGAAAGCAGCCTTGAACTGCGTTTCCAAGTGCAGAAGGATACAGGCAGCAAACTGCCAAGCAGGATTCAGGTTCAGAGTTCAAATGCAGGGAACCTGGCCTTGGTAGGCACCAGCAGGTCAGCAAGAAAGTAAATTGTTCCAGCCATTCCTGAGGATGAAAAAACACTGTGCTTCAGAGAAATTCCCTTTGGGCACCATTTTTTTCAGTTATCCAGGAAGCAAATGAGTTACAAAGACAGAAGAAAAGGTCTTAAATAATTTTCAAGGTCTGAGCCCAGGTTTCCCCAGCAACTTTGATATTTCAGTGGGGAAATGCATTTTGCAGTTTATCAAATGTTCAAAAGCACCTGGCAAAGCACAATGGATCTTTTCCCCACTCCAGCTCCCTCCCTTCTGCTTTACTGACCCACAAGTTCAACACTGGGCAGTTCTGTCAAACTCTGGTCCTTGTGACACTGCTGCTCAAGGTCCTCACTGGTGCAACTTCTGTTGTGCCTTGGCTTGCAGCAGCTTGGGCAGATTTAGGTTAGCTGGGGGGTTGGCTCCTTCAGCAGACAGCAGATTTTTGGGGAGCTGTTAGCAGGAGGCACAAAGTGCCATAGGAACCAACAAGGCCCATAAAAGTAGCCCCATTTGTTCCTCACCTTTAGAATCAAACTGGAACACTTAGGAAGGATTTCAATCCTTCAAAATGTACAGAAAAGGGACTGTCTGAGAAGCCAGGTTACAAATAACAAAAGGAGGCCTGTAGCCATGGAAGAATTCCCCTTGAGATCTGTATGGAAAATCTGTGTGGGAGGCCTAAGAGGACAAGATGCTCCAGCTAAGACATTAGCCTGTGCTACAGGGAGACTGCTTCTGGGAAAGGTGTCTTGGGTTGCAGTGCAAGGTGTAACCAAAGGTATGTATTCTATTACCCTGTTAAAACCAGTTTTGGCATTGCTCTTTATCTCTTCCATGACCCATCCTCCCTCCAGGGGGATCTCTTCTGTTCATGGGCCACTGAGTCTCACTGCACAACTGATAAAATTACATCATCCCAGTGTGAGATGCTTCACCCAGGGGGAAGAGCCAAGCATCTAAACCTGTGTATTTTTGGAGACTCAGAACACCACAGCAGCTTTTTTCCACTCAATTCCCAGAGGAAAGAGACTGGACCCATTTGCACCATTGGACCTTCAGAGGAAAACTCCACCCTTCTATGGCATCACTGCTTCAACAGAAGCTCATCTGTCACTGCAGGAGGACTGCAGCCACTATTTAATCAGACTGCTACCAACACTCTGACCAACAGGGTGTCAGGTTGTACTCTGACTCTGTCAGTGGGTTGCTTTTTTGTTGGTTTTATTTTTTGTACTACTGCATTTTTATTTTAATTTTCCTAGTAAAGAACCATTATCTTTATTCCCATATCTTTGCCTAAAAGCACCTTGATTTCAAGATTATAACAATTTGGGTGTTTACATTTTTCCATTTCAAGGGAGGTTTCTAGCTTCCTTAGCAGACACCTGTCTTTTCAAACCAAGACAAAAGGGTAGAAAAACCCAGTGGGTACAATTTCCTTTCTGTCCACTCCACTGGAGTTTTGCAAAGACTCCAGTGGAGCAGTATTTGGTTTTCCTTGGTGCTGGAAGAGCTTAGATCCAGGAGCAAAACACAAAGCTAGAGACTGAGATTACCTTCAAAGAGAGAGAATGGTGTGTCTGGAGTCCGGCACCCATGCTGCCCATAGCTTAAACACCACTCTGCAAACTGAGAAAAGAGGTACAAAAATTGTTCAAATTTGGTTAAAGGCAAACCTTGGGAAGACAACAGTATCCCTTGTCCTCACATTACCCCTGCAGAGCAAGGCTTCTGAGGGAAATCCCTTCTGCACAGGCTGTCACAGTGACTGCACTGTTGAAGGATTACTCCGGTGCAGCTGGTCAGATCTAGCAGCATGTCTGTCCCACTAGAAACTGGATTTCAAAGGCAAAGGCAGTGATAGAGAAGGCAGAAGTGAGTAAGCCTCTCTGCTGCCTCACAGACACTCTTACCTTGCAGGCCCTGTAGAGGTATTTCATGTTCTGAGTGAGGTTGTACAGTGCCAGGAAGGCATAAGCGTTGCCAGCTGTGCCATGGCACAACCCATAGCCTTTTTTCAGTAACCCATACTGCCAGATCACTTCTGCACACTGCAGGGCATCATTCAGGTACTGCTGCTCCCCAAAGACCTGTAGAGACAAGAAACAGCTCTCCTTGCTGAGGCAGTGGCCTCCAAGCAAAGAACATCCCTGTGGGATGCAGACACTTGCGTGTCCTGCTGAAGTGACTTTGCTGTTTACTTTTTAAGGAAGATATATTTAACATCATGAGTGACACACAACTAGCTGTCACCATCCATCACCTGCAACAGGGCAGTCCACACAACTTTATATTTTACATCTAGCATTAATGGATATTTTCAGAAATGTTTTTTAAAAGACTTAATTTCTGTATCAGTCAGTGGTTCCTGTGGGGCGATTTCATTGTAACAAGCCATCCTATTTCCAGGTGAGGGGTGCTCTCCCAGCATATTCTCCGGAGGAAGTTTCACATTTAGGGGTCTCTGAGGGGTGTTTGCAAGGTTTCTGGTACCTTGTATGCCTGGATAAGCATGTAGATTACACCTGGTGCTCCATGGCACCAGTGGACGAGCAGGTCTCTGGTGTCACCGATACAAGGAGGGTAATTCCCGGAGAGGAACTTGAGCTGGCACACATAGTCCACACTGGGCTTGACTGTGTTGTGCAGCTTTACTTGGCTCACTCCAAAGCCAGGCTATGAGAGAGAAAACATTTAAATCAGGGAGAATTACCATTCTGTCTGTCCCCAACAGACCCAAGGTCTGCCTGAAAGGTGGAAACAAAGTCAACTATGGCTACATTCCCTCTTGCTCCTTGTAAGTTAAGTCATTTCTTTGGTTTGGGCTTTCACACTAAACAATTACTCACTCAGTCCCTGGCTGCCCTGCCTTTTGGCAGGGATTTACAGTCCTACCCTTGCATCCTAGAAACAGAGACTGTTCCTAGCATGTCACCTGGTCCTCTAAGCAAGGCTTGCTGCTGCTTTTCCTAAAGATGAGCAGGAATAGCTTCAGGTACCCAGAGCTGAAGTAAGGAGATAACAATCTAAAATCAGTATTAAGGGTGATTCCTAGCATCCAGAGCATCTCAGCCCTTAGCTGCTGGGCCAGCCCAGCTGGCAGCCTGCAATTCTGTGTCTTCACAGATGCTGCTGGGTAATTTCAAGAGGTTGACTTCACTGCTGACCTCTCCCAATGACACTGCCCCACATGAAATCTGTGCAGTTCTAATTTCCCATGGCAGACTGCAATGAGCACTCTCATCTAAGGATCACATTGTTCCCAGGTTGGTAACTGGAAAATTAAAAATCAATACTTGTGCTGTAAAACCATTTGAGATAAAAGATGTTCTCCTCTCCATACTTCTCATGCCTGCTTCTCCCAAGGCTTTTTGTGCATCATGCTTGGCTGTTCCAGGCTCCCTGTACTTCATATAGCCCAGAAGCAGAAAGCCCATGTAGTATTTTATGGGAAACTTAGAATTATTAAAACAGCCACTTGGGAACAAGCTCAGGGACTTGGTACAAATTTAGGCTCACAGCAAATTTAGGTTTCCCCTGCTCCTAGCTAGTTATTCTGTGCTCCTGGGCAATAACCACCTTGCATCCCCCTCTTGCCAAATCTTCTACTTAAAAACCACCATCTCTTCCTCTCTGACACAAAGAAGAGTTATATTCACAGGATCTCTACTGATCTTCTATATGGGCTTTAAACTTTGACAGTCTTGAAGGAAAGCTCAAATGCTTGAAACCTGGTGGCTTCCTTTTCCACCTGCTCTGAGAGTTGTATCTAATAAAAGATTACAGACTATTTCTAGACCAAAATATTTTGTGTTGCTCATGTGTGCTCTTAATGCTTTAAAAATTCAGTGTTATATATTGCTGTTATTTTTCTAAGTGTTTAAGCACTGTAAATACATGCAGGAAGGGACCCACATAGGGGAATTATCACCCTCATTTTTTTCAGAGCCAGAATAGGGAATATTGACAGAGCTCCTGTGAGTTGTGCAAACTAGTGAGAAAGGATCAAAACAAAGGGGTACTGCATCTCCCATCCTCTTGTCTTGCTCTGCCTGCTTCAGGCACTACAGAACTCAGTTCCTTTATCAGAGACCCACCTCTTTCACATTTAGAAGCAGGTTCTGCTTTGGGTATTAAGGCATTTCCCACTTCCCTACTATGAGCACAATTTCTTCCACCGTGCTTTTCTCTCAGAGACTCTCACTCAAATGATCTGACCCAAGTAACTGCCCCAAGTAACCACCTCAGAAAACACAGGGAGCCAGCAGATACCAACAAATGTGAATACTTTAGAAGCAATTAACCTGAGGGGGAAACTCAGACCCAGCTGAGCTACAGGCCTCCATTATGTGACACTGCTGGCTCACGCAGGTCACTTTTCTCCACAGATCTCCAAGGCTGGAGATTCAATCTTAGATTTGAAGAGAACCTTTACAATTGGAAATGCCTGATAAGCACATGGGTAAGTCCATCAGACAAGGCATATTTCCCAGTTTGACATTACCAAGAGCCAATTCAAATGCTGTTCCTTATTCAAACAAATGTGGAACAGCTGCTAAGTGCCCCTCCCCTCCCATCTCTTACCTGCATGAGATAGTAGTAAATCCCAGCCAAACCATGGGCTGCTCCCACATAGTACTCCTGGTACCACTCATACATCAGTGGGCTTTTTGCTGTGAAGTTCCTCCTTTTGGATAATGTCTCACCTGAGGCTACAACTGCTTCACAGACCTGTGAACAATGGGAACAAATGTGGATGAGGGAAATGTTGCTGTCTTGGACACAGCACAGTGAGTATTGTGACACTGAGCAAGATTTGCTTTTCTGCCCAAGCAGAGGGTGGAATGAAATGTGTGCCAGTCCAGCACACATTTTACATGCCTATGGATTTACATGGACAGTGGGGACGTGTGGTGCTTTGTCCCTTGTAAGAAAAGCAGGCACACCATGATGTGGTTTCTCCCTAATTGCCAGAATTCTTTACATCTAGCATTGATTTTTACCCACCCCAAGATGAATTGCATGGGAAGAGACAGGTAACAAAGCAGTAAAAGGCACCCTACCTGCTGAATATGACTCTGAGGGATCTTTTCCTCTCCAAAGTGCTTGTTGACAAACAGCAGTGCAGAGAGGTAGCCCATGCGCCCATAGAGGAGCTCATCTGGCACTCGTGGGTCAGTCTTGTGCAGGTGGAGCAACCTACGATGAAAAATCCACATGGGGGAGATGAGAGGACACTCAGTGCCATGTAAACAAGCATTAAGACTGCAGCTCAAACCCTGGGTTTGTTCCTTCATGCTGCCTGTGCCCTAGGAGTTGTCAGGCCAGGCTCTGGCTCTCAGCTTTCCATCTGCATGAGGTGTGGAATTGCTGCTTGAGGGGGAAAGCTGGGCTAAAAGAAATGGTCAGCATAAAGCTGCTGACTGCTCAGGAAAGGCTGCCCACCATTATCTCCTTGTCATGTTATTGCCAAGGCAGACACTGCCAAAAATCACTGCTTTCAAATTAAATGGATCTCCTTTTCATTTGGCTGTTTAAGGAATACTAGAAAGTCAAACCAGTGCCAATGGTATGTGGAAAAATCTCACCCCTAATGCTCAAAAGTCCTGCTAGAAAAGCCCCCTCCTCTCCATGCCTGCAAATGGCCTGGGAAATGCTGTCAGGTGAGAAAGAGGTGTCTCCATGAGCTAAAAACCTAAGTTAGAGGTGGAGCTACACATGTTGTTTAACATCAAGCTGCAGTGGCACATGGAAGAAATAGCCTCTAGGGAGAACTGAGCAGCAATGGGGGCAGCTTGGCAAAGTGGGAGTGAGTGCTGTGGCTCTCTGAGCTTGCCTGGCACCAGGCTTTAGCCCACAAGTGCAGCATGAGGTCTGCTGCAGTCAAGTGTTTTCCTTGCCACTTGTCTATTATGAATGGTGATATTCCTGTAGTGCTAACAGAGACTGACAGCACTTCACGCTGATGCTTTGTAGCCCAATTCACTCTTGATGCCATTTTTCCTCTGTTTTACCTCTCATCACACTTCCAGAAAGACTGGATGTCCTTCCCTGTCAGGGCAGCAGGTAGCAGTGTGATTGGATTTGGCTTTATTTTTCTGTGCACCTTTAAGACAGCAGTCTGGAAAGTGCCATCACTTTTAAAATAAGTGGCTTTAAGGCTGTTTCCTGCTGTGAAACCAGCCAGGAAAAGCTCTGTGTGCGTTGAGGTTCCCTGAAGAAGGACAGAAAAGGTGCCCTGGCAGCCTTTGCTCCCTGGGCTCCAGGAACTTTGAAGCAATGTGTTGCAAAGTAAAGAAGCAATCAAACGCCTCCAGTAGAGAGGATGTCACAGCTGGGCTGTGACTTCTCATGGCAGGAAACTTGCCCTTGGCACTGGACCCCAAGTGAGCGGGGATTTTGAAGGAGAAAAGAGGGAGCAGTTTCTCAAGGTGGATTGGCTCTTGTACCACTTGACATGTGGACTGCTCCATGGAGGAGGTTTCTTTCTCACAGGTCAAACCCAAGAGACAGACTTTACACCCAAGGCATGGGTTTTTACCTGCAGGAGATGAAAGGAAAGGCCTGCTGCCTCCTCATGGCACCTGTCTCAAAGTCCAAGGAAGGCAGATTAAGAGGGTTTCCAAGGAGGTGTTTGGAGAGACAGACTCTGCCTTGCAGCAGGCTGGCCATAAGAGAAGCTGGCTGGTGATGTTGTTCAGCTCTGAGATGTCAGGAAATGTCAGGTGAAATGCAAGGAATGGATGGATGCATGAATTGCAATACCAGCAGCAGGGATTTTCCTCAGTTCTGGATGTGATATCTTCTTTTCATGGGGAAATCTGGAGCAACTGGACCTACTGTTCTTGTTCTTTGTGCATTACTGCTTTACCTCTAACTTCTTTTCAAGCAGGATCATCAGGGGAGGAAGCCTACCAGGAGCTTCTGCTGTTTTTGGAATGTCATGCATTCAAAAAGAGATGTCTGGGACGCTTCTGGACTGATTACATGCAGGATGTGTTTCTCAGGAATGTGGGGTAAATTGTGGCCTCTGAAAGGAAGAGCCACTCCTATTCACATTATCAGCCTATTACCTCAACTGCCAACAACCAGCAGTTTCTGGACACAGGGAAATCAAGGCAGCTGCAGAGAAAAATGGGATTTTTTACATCATTGTCTCTGAAAGCAAAGCTTTGACCTTCTGAATTGGTGGGAAGCGACAGGACGAAGAGGGCTCCTAGAACATGGCTCAGATTTTCACAGACTCTTGGAAAATAGGCTGCCCTGAAACATCAGCCTCTCTAGAGCATAAAAACACGTTTTTTGGTCATGAACTCATTTAGGAAAAAGCAAGCTTCTGTCTCTTCCACTGCAGGTAAAACCTGGCTGATGGATTCTCTCCACTGGCTCTATAAAGATGACATGCTTTAAAAGACAGAGGACAAAATGCAGAGGCCCTTCTTCTGCACAGCTTTGATAAAAGTGCTCTTTCTATGCACTTGCACTGTACAGCTCAGCAACTGCTCTGTAACTGAACAGCATACTCCAAAACCATTAAAGGGAGCTACTTCTCCAAGAAATACTCCATTTTAAAGGAGCATGGTCAGGCTAACTGCTCTGGGAATTGAGGGCAGAGTAAGGACAGTGTTCATTTGAGAAAGCCACATTTTCCCGTTTTCCTCCTTGCAGATGTATGAAGAAACCAATTTCCAGTGTTCTGACTTTATTACACCATTAGATGGCAGTGCAAAATTAATCACAAGATTCCATTCTGCCACCAAAGCATAGGCAGAACATAAGGGTTATGGGGAGGGGGGATCTCAGCAAGAAAACATAAATTAGGGACTGTTTTTACAACCTGGGACTTATGCACTGACCATAACTGACCAGTAGTGTTTGACAGATTAATTCCCTTTTTTGTTAGAAAATATGTTAATCATAGTGAGATTTGCCACTTTGTCCAGATTATTATCAGAATAAAGGAAGAGTTCTGTCCTCAGACTGATTGTATCTCCATAAACCAGAAGCTATTCTTAGTAAAGGGAGTTGGAACTTGGTGTCCAAACTACACAGACACTTCTGATTCTGACCTGCAGCTTTTTAAAATTGCTATTATGCATCACTTGCTCATGGCTGTATAAAGGGCAGTCAGAGTTCTGAAATGTCAGGGGTTTTGTCTTTCTTTCTGCTGATCATGTATAAATGGAAACTCTCCACAGGGCTGTTTCTCACCTCCTTAAAATCCATCTCTCTTAACTGAGAAATGCTTGCAACTACATCTCCTTAACTATTTTCCTTCCTCTGCACATGCTGATTTATGACTGCTTGTTTGTCCTTTTCTTGTCTTAAGTACCCCAAAAAAATACATGTGAAAACAGTTGAGGAAAGGCAGGAAATAGAAATAAATGAATCATAACCAGCTGCATTCTGCAGTTGAAAGGGATGCTGTCAATCTTAGGTTTAAGTCAAAGACAACTAATAAAGAACAAGGGGAAGCAAGTACCAAAATTAAATCTAATAATCTTACCACATTTTTCCTTTTCATCAAAATGACTGTAAAGCTAAATTAAAATGTTCTCAAAAAACACCAAACCCCACCTTCTGTGGTTTTTTTGTTTTGTTTTTAATTTTGGCACTTTTTTTTCTTCCTGTATTTATCAGAATTATTTTTAAGATGGCAATACCAGCTGAACAATATCTTTGCTCCCCAGCCTGCCATGCAAACGTGTTTGTCCCTAAACCACCTCTTCTACCAGGGCAGGAAAAGTTTGTGCTGCCTTGCTGAGTTATTGGGTTGTTTCTCATACGAGACTGCAACAAAATGTATTCACATAAGTCAGAGAGTGCCTCACACAAGCCCAGACCAGCTCTGTGAGCAAGAGGAAGGTCAGGTCACAGACATAAGTAAGTGTTTTACCGGATGATGCAGTCCTCTGCCTGCTTCTGGTTCTGCAGCTTGTGGTAGATGACAGCAGCCACTGCCAGGGGCCCGGCATCACCACACAAGAAAGTGATGGATCGCTTGGTCATGCATCTCAGGCTCTTCTTCACGTAATCATGGGCCACCTCAAGGTAGGCTGGGTCTCCATAGACATCATACAGGTGCAAATACAGCAAAGCAATGCCTGCAGAAGGAACATAAAGGTTGCATCCACTAGAAATGTTTGCTCTGTTACTTTAATGAACCTAAAAGTCTGGCCTGGTGCTCATCTAGGGCATAAGCCTTACAGGCAGGCTTCTCAGGGACATAACCCACAGCTTCCTTTCCTGCTTTGTCATCTCCTTGTAGCTTGATGCTGCATGTGAGTGGATGGCAGATCATGACAACACCCAGGAAGGCCTGGAGAGCAGCACGGAATTGCATAAAACTTTACCTACAATTACATAAAATTTCAATAGCAAGGAGCAAAAGATGAGACCTAGACAAACCCACCTAACCCATACACTGTACCTGTGACTTCTGCTCAACAGTGAAGGGGAAAAAATATCATCTTTGGGCAGGCAGATGGTACTTGTGACAGAGCAAACTCAGTTGTCACCTTCTCAGTTTTTTCTCCATCATTAGTGGGTAAGCAGTTGGGTCATTTAGCTTGGATTGGATTTATAAAAAAAGTGACACAGCATCAGCACCAAGAAACAGCACCCTTAAGACATCCAGACATCCTACTTGACTTTTTTTTTTAATTATTATTTTTTTAAAATTCCTTTCCACTGGGAAGCACCAGCAAGGTTGTTACAGTTCTCTGGACATCATCTCCTGTTGCTGAGCAAGTCCCAAGCCTTAGAGCAAGGGCTGGTTCATCCTAGAAAAAAGGGGACTGCCCAATTCTCCTCTGCAGCACATCTGTCATGACACCAGCCCTTGTCTGAAACACAAACAGCTGCCTGGAATACTAGAAAAGGCAGCATGGATTTCCAGTGGACTGCCCAGCTACAAAGACAATTCTACTGAGCAGTCACATCAATTGCTGTCCTTTGCCTCTGTCTGCCTTGTCTTCACCCAGCTCTTGATGCTTTTAGTAGGTAAATGAGGAGTTCTCAGTAAGTCTGTGCCTGAGATGTGTGTCACAACTGAACCATCCTTCTGATCTGGGAGCCATCCTCAAACCTGCACTTAAGAAAGCTACTGGCCTACATGACTTTGAGCAGAGCTTATTTCTCCCCTTAACAATAATCATTTCTAAGAAGACTCAGGTCCTGCATTAAGCCTAAATTAATAGAGCCAATCTCTGCAGATTTTGATGTGTTAAGGTCAAGAGTGCTGCAAAATTACAGTCCAAGGTACTGAGGACAATTTCAAACTTTGATAATTTTCTCATTTTGCATGGGTAATCTCCAAAACTTCATGTTACAGACAATTCAATTCCACATGTACATTATATATAAAGCTTCCATTTCCTGCTGAAGCTAATAACCTTGTCCTCTCTTTAAGCAATTCAGTGCTAGCAGTTCTAGAGAGAGCTCAGTGCCATCACTCAAGTCTATAAGGATGTAGATATAAAGCTCTTTTTTTAAAGGGGAACCCTCCTTTTCCAGCTAGAGAATGTCAAGTGACTCTCCTTCATATATTTAGTACCTAGCACATCTTCTAGACTCTTATTAGCCTGGTAGCTGCCTGAGCACTACTTGCACTTTTGACTTACCTGCTTTAATATACAACTTCTAGCTTTTTAAGTAGTTTCTATTCCCACTGGCATCATACCGCCCTAATTATGCACATAAGTACCCTGCCAAGACCACTGCAAGGACTGGATTCTTAGGAAGTAAATCTCAGCATTGTTTTCCTCTGGTTTCTTCACCTCTCCTCTTTTAAAACATTTCTCACCCCCATTCCTCCCAGAACCAAGCATCTTTGGAAAGACTCCAAAAAACCACTGACCTGTACTAAAGGATGAAGTTGCTTTCCCAAAACATTCACTTTTCCTTTTTATATAAAACTGAAAAGTCTTATAAACTGCATCTAAATCCAGTTTTCTTAATTCATCCCTGTTGTTGTTTAATACTGGCAATATGCCATGAAAGTTGCTCACCCTCTTCTGTTATACTTGGGCAGAGGAGAGGGGGAAAAAAATTATGAAGGGTTCATGTGTTGAGATAAGGATTGGGAGAAAAAAACACTATAAGGGCAAAACAGGTTCAAATTTAAAAGGTATAAAGTAAATTTATTATTAGCAGAGTCAGATAATGAGAAGTAAAATAAGCCTTTAAAACACCTATTTTCTCCCCAATGTCTCTCTCCTTCTACTGACAGCACAGGGAGATAGTGTGGGGGTTTTTGGTCAGTTTATCACTCCTCAACATGTTCTGTTCACTCAGGGAGAGGAGTCTTTCCTTCTGCCATGGGGTCCCTCCCAAGGGCAAACAGTTGTTCCAAAACTGATGTGCTGTGGGTCACTTGTCCATGGGGTACAGTCTTTTAAGGATAGGCTGCTCTAGTCTGGAAGCAAGGGCTCTCTCTCTTGTCTGCCTCTGGAATCAGGAGCTCTCTCACTGTTTGGGTTTCACACTGGATCACAGCTTGCTCTGGCATCCACCCACTCTGGCACAAACACTTTTCCCATGCGTTGCAAGTGGATCTCTGCATCCCCTGTGGACTTCATGCATTACAGAGGGACAGCTGCTTCACCATGGGCCTCACCATGGCAGAGGTTCATTCCTCATTCCTGCAGAGGCATCTCGGCTCTGCCGCTTGGAGCACCTTCTCCCCCTCTTCCTTTCCACTGACCCTGGTGCCACCATGTTTTTACCCACATATCCTCACTTCCTCCTCTTTTCTATTAAAAAAACTGCTGCTTGTAGGTACCACTGTCAACAAGTTCCACTAATTCAAAGATCCTTGTAAGATTCTGCAGTGCTGAGAGGTTGATCTCATGTAGGTTCCAGGTCAGGGAATTGCTTATCGTATTTCTGCTGCTGGCCAGGCAGCAGCACCTCCCCACCCCTGGAGAAAAAGCTGCTCATGCAGTGTTTTGATTTTCTTCTTAAGTATGTCAGAGGAGTTACCAACCTCTGTGTTTGGGCAAGCAGAGTGTTCACCTTCAGTGCCATCACAGAGAGACTGGCTCTGCTGAACATGGTAGAACCTTCTAGCAGCTGCTCATAGAAGCTAACGCTGTGGCCCTCCCCTGCTACCAAAAAAAAACCAGGCCATGCCAAATCACCACAATTCCTCAAGGAATTCTCCCAAACTGATCAGAAGGGTGCAGTCAGTGCTGCCTTCAGCTTGCTCCTCACTCTGCTGCCATCTGTGAGCCCCAGAGGGGGGAAGGCAGCAGAGGAGGGCAAGCACAAGCATGAAGAGGCTTACAAAACACAGCCACCTGGGTGGGGATATCCTGTGTTAACCTGTGTGCCAAGACACTGGCAGAGCATTTCAGAGGCAGTGCAGGCTAGAGACAAGAGCATCCACACGGTGACTTTGGCTCAGTTAAGGCAGTATTGCTCTGCAGAAGCTCTTCCACAGCTCTGCCTCACTCCCTCTCCAATATCCTCCCCACCCTGACTGGGTAGGTTTGTGACTGACTGGGTGTTTGTCTGGCAGGCTTTAAGTGGTATGCAACCATGGCATCACCAGACACATGGAACTAGGTAGGCTGTGGATCTGCTCCATTTCTGTGTGCCCTGGAGGTCTGGTGCTCAGTGTCCCAGCTGGAAATATGACCTAATTTTGTGACTTCTGATTGCTTCCAAGCAGAACTGCCATACAGTGGCTGCCTGTGGCCTGCTACTGCCAAAAATGTCTGGGCTTCCTTCTATTTCTTGTTTACTACTGGACCTTCTCTGTAGTTTCTCAGATGTCCAAGTTTTTTGCTTCTTGCCCCTGCTGCAGAGCCAAATGAGATGGGGAATTCATCAGAGAGTCCTTGATGGCAGAGGGCTGCACTGAACATGTGCTACTGGCAGACCAAGAGGGCTCTGAGGACTGAAACAGCCACCTCCAGCATACAGAGAGCTAATACACTGGAGCTGTGTGCTGATGCCCAAGATGCTTGCTCACTGCAGGGAATCAGGAGGCCAAAGTCAATTCTGCATGTCTCACAAAGCCTGCTTAGTCAAATACCTTCAGAATGACAGTGAACAGCACCTCTCTCCTCTCACATTTCTGCATGGTAGGTGCAGAGGGCTAGATGCAGAGGGCTACTTTGCACCAGAGATTTGAGTGGGGTAGTACATTGTAGAAATTGAATTGTTTTCTGGCTTGTGCTGATGCCCTGACTTCAGCAACCATTGCTTTCAACAGAGCAGGCACTGCTGGAAATACCAGGAAAGGTTTTGCTTCTGAGCTTTCCTTGCCCAGCAGGAGCTGAGCTGTGCTTCTACTAAGGAAAGGAGGTTGCTGCAAGAGGATATTCTGTTCCAAACCAACCATCTAGAGTCCTAAAGGATCTCAGAGATCTTGCACTGACCCAGGGCAGTAAGTCAGCCAGCAGCCTCAAAGCAGGATGTCAAACACAGAGGGAAGAAGCAGAAACCTCTGCACAATCATGAAGCCTGATGGTTTCTAATGAGACACCTGATGCCCTTTTATTAAGTCAGCCATGGGGTAAGAGAGCATGGATAGCCCAGCTCAAATGATAATTAGCATCTTTCCTGGTGCAGACACATGGGATGCTACACTGCACTCCTAAATGCATGCCAAAGCCATGCTGCATGCAACAGGGAGACATCTCTGGAAGTCCATGTGCAGAACTGGCTGGGGAGCCAATCTGCAGCTTATCTTCCTATTGCACTGTGGGACACTGGATGATTATCCAGGGTGCCTAAGCATTTATCCTGCCTTAAAAACTGGGTGACAGAGCTTCTTCTGTAAAATGTTTTACCCTATCACAAAATCCTACAACAGGTTAGGTTAGCAGGGATCAGTGGTGATCTGCTCCAACCCTCTGGAAGGAAGGTCAACCTCAAATTTGCATGCCACTGCTCTGGGCCTTGTCCAGTCAAACACTGACTTTCTTCAAAAACAGAAATTTCACAAAAACTTCCCGCTAAGCATCTGGCAGGAACGTGGTTTATGTGAGTGACCCAAGGCACTCTATTATCTCTCAGTAAATGCAGCCTCACTTTCTCTTGTTCTGTAGGGATTATCTGAGGATTCCCATTTTTCTGAACAGGACTAAAAGGGACCTAAGTTCTCGGGGTTCTGAGGTTAAAAAACCCATATTGCACTAAAGTGAATGAAAAGTATTTTTCCAGAAGTTTTCCTGAGCTGCTTCATTTGTAATTTCATTCTTACACTGCTTTCCTTTCAAAAGACAACTAAACCCTGCTCCTTGTCCCTACTTGCCAGTGGGCCAGCCAAAAGCTGTGGATGGGCAGACCAGCTGGACTTACTGGGCAGTTTCAGAGGCCCACCAGTGTTGAAAGCCACAACTAAGACACTGACAGAGAAATGCTTGCATGGGAAACAAATTCCAAATGCACTACCATAGTGTGGAGGAAGGTGAATCTCTCCCTTACATACTTCATCACCTTGGAAGAACACAGCAGTCCAGCAGACACTGGACTCAGGAGCACCCTAGCTTCTGCAGTCAGCTGGTGACCAGAGTGAATTTCCTTCCATTCCCTTTCCATCAGCTGTGCTCCTAGTCAAGACAGTCTTTGGAGCAAGGCCTTCTGCATTATCACCAACACCAACAGGCATGTACATATCCCTCAGCATCCTCGTGCTAATCTGCCTGAAAATGGATGAGGCCACTCATCCTGCTTCTGCCAGGATCTGAACAACTGAACAACTTCCGACTCAGAATTAGCTTAGCACAGTTCAGCTTTCCTCACTCAACACAGATTAGGAAAGAACTCTTCCAGCAGTCTCCCTAAACTGTTGAAAAGCCAAAGCAGAACACAGTAGCTGATGCTGGTCTGTACTCGAGCATGTACCAGGTGCTGCCTATGGGGCCGTGGTCTCTACGGGGAACTGAATGACAATGTAATAAGATGATTCAAATATGTTATGAGGGCATTCAGCCATACACTGGATAATCTTCATCCAAAGTGAGTTTTCACTGCCTCTGAGCTGAAAATCTGAATCCTTCCCTCCCTCTGCTCCAAATTCTCATGCCAAGAAGGCATGGCTGCCCTGGCACAAGCGCACGCTGGGGGAACAGGGCTCTGTCAAGTGTATTATGAGCCCAAAAGTAAAATGCCAGCATATGCTGTGTATTACTGAGTGTAATGTAGTACACTCAAGTATGTTACATTTCATGCAGTTTGTGCCAAGAGAGCCATATTTCAAATCTCCCTTATTAGCGGCCACAAGAGTAGGGTTTATTTCAGACTGCTGGGCAATGATTCACATGAGGAGATACTCAACAAGCCTTTCCTACACAAGCAATTACAGGAAAAAGCTGCTGTCTTGGCCCAATTAATTTTGTCTCTGGAAACCAGCTCTGAATAAATTACTATAGCTAGAATTGGAAAAGAAGGTAGGGTGACAAAGTCATAGTGTAACATCTGCAAACTTCACCACGCTGGCTGTGACTTCCAGGAAATCCATCCATGGATTTTTTTCCTATTAGCCAAGGCAAGAAGGCTGTGTGCCATTGAGGAATGATCTCTGGGAATAAAAGAGAAGAATCCCTCTTGAGAAACTCCCTTTCAAATGAAAAGAAGCTGAAATCCCACCAGAGTTCTCAACCACTGTTTCGTAACTGCAGTCATTTTCCAACATGAAGTACTTTAGGACCACCTCAAGAAAGGCAACATGGCCTCTGGGGGAAAGTGTTTTCCTTCTCCTCAAAGACTTTGAGAGTACTGTGAATATCAACTCTCCTCTTGCTTTGTGTCCTGAATTTTCTGGCCAGAGGCAGACCCTGCAATCACGACTGAAGACTACCTTTACCCAAGCAATGCTTTTCATCAGAGGGGACTTCAGCACAGGATCACACTGACTGGAAGCCTGAACATGTCTCCCAAGGTGAAATCAGCCAGCACTCAGCAGAAATGCATAAATTCACTGGCAGCACGAGCAGAGTGCTGCCAAGACAGCAGCTGACGAAATCAATGTTCTCCCACGCTGGAATTTAATACTGGCATCCTAGCATTTCTTAGGAACTGCTCTTGAGTGCCTCAGTGCCTGCCTTACTAGAATTTCGAAGCAGGCCTTTCTAGCACTGCTGTCATCAAGCTGCAATGTTACTTTAGCACCAACACAGTGAACACCACTCTCCTAAGCAAACTGTTGGATTTAAATTCCACAGCACCCACACACAAGCTAGCCACACCCAGCTAGTACTGTAGAAAGCTGCCATTTAAGATTGCAGCATATTGCCAAAAGAAAAGAAGCGGCACCAAAAAAAAAAATCTTGCAGCAAGCATGAGATTAATTTCAGCTACCCTAGGGTCTCTCCATAGGGCCTGGCACAGCGCAGAAGGCAGGAGAAATGACAAAGCACACAGCAGCAGCTAAAGATGGGGCACAGACAAAGGTGTGTCCTTCCTGGCACCAGTGGCGAGAAACAGGGATGCAAAGGCAGGACGCACTCCCAAGGAAGGAAAACCAGGTTGAAAATGCAGAATAGGAGAAAGGCAAGTTCCTGGAAGCTTTGCACACTAGTTAGTATGAGAAAGGCCTCCACACTTTGTTATACTCACATTAGCATTTCTGCTCCTTCTGACAGGCACTGGAGCAAAACTAGCGCTCACTAAGTGGAGTGGCACTACCTGGGGAACAGGAATGGAGCAATCTGACAACAAGACAACGTCATCAGATAAAATTCAGCCCAAACAGAAAAGACAGACATTATCTGAGGCCATAAAGCTCACTGCAGCCAGATGCAAGGACTCCTTGTAGGTAACTGACCTACCATGTACACCTGCCTACTTCATGAGCACGGGTTTTGTTGTCATCATCCCCACCGCGGCTGGGTTTGGAGCCTGTTCCTCTGAAGGCTCCCATGTCTTCTCTCAGGCAAGTGCCAGCACTATTAACCAAGACTAGACCCAATCCTGCCCTATGAAACTGGTGTCTTCACTCTGTAGCATGAAACCTGCTTCAAAAACGGGGGCTCCAGAGAAAGACATCCCCTTGTTCTAATGGGCTAAAACATGCAGAAGACGTGACATTCTTGACGTGGATGTGCAGTGACCATTCCAATGGCAGAATCCCCAGGGAATGCCAGGATCTGATCCAGAAGTCTGCTCCAGGCAGCTCCTGCTCCATGGGATCCGACCCTACCTGTCCAGCCAGTGTACGCGGTGCAGTCATGCGGGTCGGCCGACTTGAGGCCCCTCTCCATCTGCTGCAGCAGCTCCCTGATTTTGTTATTCAGCCGCTGTGTGAACTCGGGGGTCAGCTGTGGAGAGAAAACCCACCGAACGTGGTTTTGCAGGCGGCTGGGCACCAGCAAAGCGAGCACACCCTACGGGCGCGCAGCCGGGGAGCCGCGTTTGTAACCTGCCATACACGGCCGGGGCCCGCAGCCGCCTCTCCCCATCCCCGCTCACCCGCCCGGCCGCATCGAAGTAGCTGGTGGCCAAGGACTTGTCGTAGTCCGCGTAGGGGTTCGGAAGTGCTCTCTGCGCCATCATTTTGCCGCTGAAGCCCGCTGGGCTCGGCTGGGCTCGGTCGCGGCCCGCCCCAGCTCCGCCCCGGAAGGCGCCGGTGCCGCCGCTCGGCCCTTCCCGCCGGGGGCGGGCTGAGGNTTTAGGGAGCCCTGTGGACTTAAGGGCAGCTCATCGTGTAGGGTTTCATGTAGCTGATGAGGCGATTGCGGCTGGCCCGGTGGGGTTAGGAGCCCATTGCTGGTGGGGCTTTAGGGAGCCCTTTGAAATATGAGGTCCCTTGTGGGGCTTAGGGACACTGTGGGGCTGGGGGGAGCTGTCTCTGGCTGTCCCCGTGCGATTTCGGGCCCCTTACCGGTGGCCTTGTGCGTTTCAGGAGTCCCATGTTGGGGGTCCTTGTGGGGTTTGGGTCATTTAGCTGCCGTGTGGGATTGGGGACCCTGTGGGGTTGGGGACCCTATGGGATTGGGGACCCTGTGGGGTCGGGGACCCTGTGGGATTGGGGACCCTGTGGGGTTGGGGACCCTGTGGGGTTGGGAACCTTGCAGCAGCCTCGGGCGGATGGGCACCGTGTGGGTTTGGCCTTAAGCTGCTGCAGGTGCTGATAGAGGGTCAGCCCAAGGAGAAAGTGCTGAGTCCTGATCCGTCCCAGCAGTATTTCCTCCCTTGGGGTGGGAGACAGCCTGTATGGGGGACAGGGGCTCTTCATCTCACCTGTGCTGGCTGAGCTACATCTTCATGAAGAGGTTAGGTCCCCATAACTCACAGGGCTGAGCAGTGCTTTTCCTCCTAAGTGCAGCAATAACGCTGTGCTGCTGGGGCTCTCCTTGCTGCTGTCGTGGGGCAGTGTGCCCCTCTGCAGCTCTCCAATGGAATTTGTGCTGCCAGGTAGCGTTCACTGGGCTGACAATTCCTTGTGTGCTGTGTTCCTCAATCCAGGCCTCGCTGTAACACTGCTCAGCTCCCTTTCTTTTCATCCTGAGATGATGTGATGTCCCTGCTTGAGCTGTGGCTTGCTGAAGTGTGTGACAGGTGAAGCTTTGGGGCTCTTGGTGCCTTGTCACGGTCTAAATGCAATGACACTGCCCCTTGTAGGAGCTGAATCCACCTGGGTGGGTTTAGGGGGAAAATGCTGCTCTAAGAATTTACATGCTGGTGACTGTAAACACCCTGAGAACACCCTGCTCCATTCTTTATTACAATCAATAAAATGAGATGTCAAAGGAAAAAAAATAAATTATTTCACGATATGGTGAGAAACAAGCATAAAAGAAGGAGTCACAATTATGTTTGCTTTCAGTTCTTTTTTCACTCAGCTGTTGCTTGTTTAGTGAATTTCAATCATGTAAACACTGCCTTGCATTCAAGGCAGGGAGATGGACTGCAGTTTTAGTATTCAGGGAGGCAGCTCTAGCATCAGCAAAAAATAATGTGGAGTCTTCTGCTTCAGGCCAAATTCACAGCCTATATCATGGTCTTCCTTTCCATCTGCAGGTCAAAGCAGTATTCACTGCCCTGCTTCCCTCAGGCACAGTTCAGTATTAACTTCCAGCATAAGGTTTTTATTTGATTCCTCAACATTATTTGTTTTTCGTGATCACTTGAAGACAAGGATGGTTCTCCAAAATTATCCTGCCTGTTCTCTTCACCACTGTGCCAAGGAGTTATGTTTCAGTATATTATTTTCTAGCTGGTCATGGTGACTTTGGCTTTGGTGCACCTCTTGGTGCCAGGGTGAACCCAGAAATCCAGGCTGCAGCTGTCACTCAGCCCAAGTAAGAGACTTGTGATTTGTCCTTAGTAACCTGCCCATGCAGAATAGGGAATAAAAGAAAATCTGAGCTTGAGAGGAAAGCTGCTTCTGTGTTCTTCCAGTTCCAGTCACTTTTGGGCTGTTTGGGAGTAGTGGGCTTCTTTGTCTGAAAAGGGTCATGCTGCATTCTCTGAAAAAAAAAACCCCAAAAAACCTATTAAAGCAGATCTGTTCAGGACATATCTAGAGAGGAATCTTGTGAGAATGCAGCTATGAGAGCACAGGGAAAATGGTGAGAAAGCAATCTCTAGTAGTCTTCCTGGCACTCCTGTCACAGTTAGCCCCAGAAAAATCTCTCTGAAGTGACTTGTGATCAGTGGTTGAATAGATGGCCCCAAGTCTTTCTGCCTGTGAGAAAACTAAAGGATATAATATTTTCTGCTCCACAACATTGTCTAAAAGACAAATCCATACTAAATCTTAGCAACATAAGAAGAGCCCTGGCTGCTGGTGGTCCCAGCTGGACTGGTGGCATATCTGTGGATTACATGAGTGAAATGGATGTTTCACAGTCCTCCTTGAAGAAAGCCTCAACATGCCTGGGTGTCTGCTCCCTCCTCATTCCAGTGAGGATATGAAACCAAAATCTCTGACAGATGTTACAGCTGTTTGCATAGTGGCATCCTGCCTGAGGGCATACTGAAACATCTTCCTGAGAGGAGCTGTCTCCTGCTGGAGAGCGTCCTTCACCGGCTGTAGGCATCCATCAGTTCTGTAAACTCACCTGCAGTGAATCTCCATGCAGCAGGTGCCCAGTGTGGGCAGTGTAGATGCAGACTTGCAAGTGGCCTTTCCAAAATGGTAGTTTGCCATCTGTCCCCCCTCCACAGCCTCCTCTCAGGGTCAGACCGACCTCACACAGCAAGCTCCGTCCTGTGAGCCAGATGGGCTTGGCATGGTAACCCTGTAATAGTAAATGTGAGGGTTGCTTGTTATCCTTTGCGTGCTGTATGTGAGGGAGTGCAGAGAGCAAGGGCAGAGTGTCCTTCGTAGCCTTGTCAGCTAGAAAAAGGAATTTGAGAGGCTGTGTGGAAGTGCATGGTCATCCTCAAGGTGTGTGTGTCCTGGAAAAATGGACTGCCAAAGTACTTGGGTGGTGGGAGGGGTTTCATCTGCTGAAAAATTGCCCAAGGGATGCCTCAGCAGAACTACTACATCACAGAACTGCTGCAATACAAGATTTTTGTGGACATTAAAGAGGTGTAATCCAAGTTGTGACATTTAACTCCCCATCTCTGCTTTGGTTTGTTTCTTTTTGGTGTTGACTTCTTTGTGTTCCTGTTTCAGACAGCACAGAGTAAAAGTGAGAAGCTTCCCATCTGTATTCATTAACCTCTCTTATACTTAAGATTGATGTCCAAATGTCCTAGGACATGTAAAAGATCAAAGTCAAAGATGCCCTTTTCTTACTTTTAAATAACACTTTAGAGTATCAGGTGTTGTTTCTGCCATGGTGCTATGTATAAACTAGAGATAATTCTAGAAACTTTGCCATTCTTTTATTATTAGAGCTACAGCTCCCCATATTCAATATCAGTAAAAATGCAAACCTACATCAAGAAACTGAAGATCTTAATGCTGTTCTGAAGCTAAGTAGCTTGGCTTTGGAAGGTGAGACAAATGTTATATGTCAGGATTATGAGTGGAATTTTTTTCCTTTTAGAGGGGTATCCAGGAGAAGGGAAAAGCATCCTACTTTATTGTATTTTCTTCCATTTTCTGGATGGCATTGATTGTTTTTCTTTTAGCAGCTTGTATGAAGAGATCAAAGGCTAAGTATTGGTCCCATAATTTGACCTGAATAGTTCTAGTTGATTCTATTGATAGCATTTCTGGGGAGAAGAGCTCACCTGTATCCTGCCTGTATTTTTTGTGGCCAGGTTATTAAGCCAAGCATTCACTACAGAGAATTCTGACTCCATGCACAAGCACAGTGGGGGGCTTTGAGCTAGTGGTTCCCACTCAGACCTCAGAGCTATAGCAGGTGCTTCTGTGAAAACACTGCTCACAAGGCAAAAGAAAAAAAAATAAAGTAAGAAGGGAAAAAGAGCACAAAATTAGGAATGCTGTTACATGTGTCTGTGGCTCACCTGCATCTCACATACTGTCTCGTGTCCTAGATAGCAGAACTAGAAGCAGGAAGTACAAGTTGTAGAACTAATAAGGCCAAAAAAGAGATCATCAGCTGTGTGGAATGACTTAGGTGCAAGGACTAAGTAGCTAGGCCAGGACTATTTGGGCTGGAAAAGCCCTGGAAAGGGCTGTAGTGGATGTCTGCAAAGTCTTGAATGGTGTCACAAGTGTGACCAGGGGAGGGTGAGCCACTGGTTCTCAAAGCTAGTGGACATCAGCTGCAGCAGCTTGCAGGGGTGAAGATTATTTATATTACCCTGTGGTAGGCTGTCCAGTACAAAGACACAGCTGTGCCTGGGGGCTGCTGGTGCATGTGTTCCCTAGCACACTGCCTGAGCATCCAACTCAGCCTGGGCTCTGAGAGGGTTTCCCCTGCTCTGCTGTGCCTGCTGCCATGTGTTTATATTTTACTTTATGACATGTGAACCTGGGCACAGAGCAGTCAGCAGCCGAACAGCTTTGTAGAAGTGTGTCTTCGTGGCAGCAGCAGCAGCAGCAGCATCCCACTTAAACTACAAACACATCCTTGACTGGAGTGTGGTGTTTTTACCCGATCTTTCAGCACTCAGCCACTAGATGCCTCTGTCCCCCTAGGAAGGAGCGGAGGAGCTCTCTGTGCCTGTGCCCCCAGCCTGGAAAGCATCCATGCCCTGCTTAGTGTGGGATGGGAGGAGCTGCCTGCTGTGTAAGGAGCAGAGAGCAGTGCTTCTGCACTATGCAATCCTCTGTGATTTTTCATTTTTATCATTTTCTTCTCCTTGTGGGCCGTAAGATGTCGATATCCCCCAAAACAATGGGAATCCAGCCTGTTTTAGCAAATGAAAGAGAGAAGTTGGAGAGCAGACCCGATTGAGGTGATCAGTAAGGGCTACAAATGGTCAGGAGCAAAGAAAACCAGTCAGGAAACTGCTAAAAACTGGAGAAAGAACTTAGTTTTGGTGATCAGGTAATTTGGAAGACAGCAGGGATTGTTGAGACTTTGATAGAATTTGATCCTTGGATAGGACTGACATCAAGTCAGATTTCTTTTGCTTTGCTATAATGACTAAAGCAGTCTGTGTAGGGCACTTTTATCATGAAACCTGTCTTTAAAGTTCAGGGAGAGGGTTGGATGTGATTGCCAATGTGTGGATATGACTGATTGCTCACCCTGACTGT